CGCAACAATGTCTATAAACAAACACAACAATTATAAACTAATACAACAATGCCAAACGCAACAATGTCAATAAACAGACAACTAAACTGTTTATTTACATTGTTGTGCTGCTCTCACGGCAACACGTCACAATATTACATATATAAACCTGGGTCTTACTTTGAAGTTTAAAGAATGGGCAATTTTGGATGCGTAGGGGGATAAAGTAAGGGGCTAGTCTTAGATACAAAAAATTAGAAAATTCTGTTCAAACAGGAGCTACTTTAGATTTTTCAGCCTCAATAAAAAAAATTGTACTTATGATGAGGAAATTATGGAGTTTACATACAGTGGGATGGACATATAGGGAGAGAAAAAATGCTACATAATTCAGGTGGGAGAAACTCCTGCACTTTGCTAGCTTGGAAAAGTGGGAAGCAGATGGGAATACAGTATTAAGACAAGAGGGATCTTACAGAAATAGGTTATGATGGCAGGAGTTGCTGGAATTGTCTAATTTTCATGTCTTCAGTCTAAAGCCAAGCTCAGAGCTTTGTTCCAGTTACCAAACAGTTAATTTCTAGTTGCTTCCTGTCTCATATTTCTGTCACGGTTATTTAAAATGATTTTTCCATCAACAGGACAAAATTGCCCAAGGGATATGCGGTAAACCCCAATACATGGCCCCGGAAATGTTGCGAGGCATAGGATACAGCTTTGTGAGTATCTCATACCCTGATAGTCGGAGAACAATGAGTTCATTGTTTTATGTTAAGTATGAATAATGTAAACTAGTAAGGCAATGCATTATAATAATCTGAGGGTTTGGAGCCACAAAAGAACCTGCAGGCAGGAGATGAACACAGTTCCTTCCTCAATTTCTCTCATTCTGGAGACTCTCGTGAAATTTTTCAACAGTGGGAAGAAGTGAAAATGACTGATTGCAGCCATTCCCTCTTTTTGAACTGTTACAGGAAGTCGACTGGTGGAGTGTTGGCGTAATCGCATACGAGATGTTGGTAGGCCGCTGGCCCTTTGAAATCCATGGCAGTGACACCGATGAAATGGTGCTCAAGTAAGTATTCAATGACCCAGCATATGCGTTCACTGCGAACATCACTTCAATTTGAACTGTTACATCCAGATCACTTTGAGGCTAACACATTACTGCCTCTTTCAATGTCAGGAGAGCAGGGGCACACATTTTAATCGCAAGGAAACAAAATGCAAGTACAAACATTACGAAAGCAAGTTTGTGCAGGACATCGATAAAATGTGAGGCGTCTGTAATCTAAAGGTTTGCAAAAGCCAGGAAGTAACATATTTTGACAAGTACAATTTTCCTTGACTCTTGTATGACCTGCGTCAGAGTTCTCCATGCAAATTAGATATAACCAAGCAGTTTAATGGAGCTGTCACAGGCATTAGAAATACTAATTCTTATGGCATGTTTAATAAGAATGTTTTAAATTGTAAATACAATGGACCTGTCTTTCACAGTAAAATCCTACAGAACATCGTACGCTTTCCCATAAGCTTGTCGCCAGATGCGGAAGACCTTGTCCGGAAACTCCTGCAAACGAACCCATCTCAGAGACTTGGCAAACAGTACACCAGGGATCATCAATTTTTGATTTGAGGATTCACATGAAGTAGAGATAAGTTACAAATAAAACGAAAACATACAAAATAAATGAGCCACATTCACATACACAGGAAAAGAAACCAAATTCATAACCAAATTATTTAAAGAAAATAAAATAAAAACAGCCTTCAAAACAAAAAACACAATAAAAAACATCCTCAAACAAAAACCAATAATAAACATAAACAATCAATATAACTTACCAGGTATATATAAATTGAAATGCAAGAATTGTCCACTAATATATATAGGTCAAACCGGTCGTACTTTCACACACAGATACAAAGAACACATAGCAGCCATAAAACACAATAAAGATAGTTCTGCATACTCTAAACACATTCTCAATACAGGACATGCTTACAACACAATTGATGAAACAATGGACATAGTAAAAATAGTAAAAAAAAACAAAAGACACAGAGATACAATAGAAAAATATCACATATATCAAACTTATAAACAAAACATATGCCTTAATGATAATAACATTTTGCTTAACAACCCCATTTTTAATGCACTCCAGTACCTTGCCCCCAACCCTGACAAACCGCCTTTCACCCCCTAACACCGCAGTCAATAACCAACCTCGCTCCGATACGATGTACTTCTGATCTCTCCTCTTACAACTTCGATATTACTTCTCTGGTAAGTTTATACGTTTACTTTCATTTATTTATTTTGTTTTCTATATTCAATTTCATTAATGGTTTGAATCCTTTAATTCACAGACCAATATACGCAGCATAACATACACCTGATGACGGCTCTATGAAAGCCGAAACATGTCGAGAATGTTCCATATGTAAATTGAGTACTCGATACGGAACAAAGGATAATATTTTAACCATTTAATTATCTTATATTACTTTATTGTGATTGACGGACAATTTTAATATATTTTAATACTATTTTTAAATTCTGGAAGTCGAAAGCTACGCGGTTAAATTGAAGTAGGAGCACCAATCTCGTGTGTTCCTGGTTTTCCTCAGCATGTCCATGAGTTCAAATAGAGCACAGCCACCTTCCTCATCCTCCTGCAATGTCTGTAGCGCTCGATCAGAAAAGTGTTTTGTTTGAAGGTCGCTTTCTACTTGCGCCCTTTTTACTGAGAGTGGATTGCGAAGTAAAAGCATTTACGAATAAGGTGCAGTGGCAACCAATCTTTCTCTTTCTCTATCCGTCAAATGCTCTTTCACGGGCGAGTGTTTTGAATTGGCTGATGGATAATTGTGTGTCAGAGCTGAAACTTAACAATATTGGGGGAGTGAATGTTTTTGTTTTAATGCTTATGTTTAATAAAATATACTATATTATTTTCATTACACTTGTGGCGAACGTTTGTCGAACAAATTCCAAAATATGCTTGTTGCGGGTAAGGAATTGGCCTGTAAACCCATAATGGCGCGTGTTGTGCTTGCATGTGCTACGTAACAGCGGCATTGAAGGGGAAGGGGCGAGCATGATGTCATAGCCTTACCTCTTTACCCACCTTCAAGCTACTTCAAAATTCGTATCGACACTGACTGGTCTTCAGCTCGTGTATTTCTTGGGACAAGTTTTCCGATGGCAGAATTTGACCTGACAACTTCGGTGACCCATGCGTGAATTAGTGGACATAAAAATGTGATTTAAAGAATCAGGGTCTGGTTTAAATTGGATGAGAACAATCCGCAGAGGCGGGCTGCTGTGAATCTTCGATTAAATAAATTGCAGATGGCTTCTAAGCCAGCTGAGCCACCACCAGCTTCTCAAGGAGAATTCTATTACGTCAATTCAATAATACGTTCAGTAGATGAGCGATATAAGTCTCCATTGTGACATGGATTAGACCCAGAAAGAGATAACAATTATGATTTCCATCTCAGTCTCCTTGAAAAGAGAGATCAGCCAACTTCAGAGGCATTAAACTTCCATTCTCTACGCCAGAACTGCGAAACATGCGTCCCTCAAGTCCCCCGAAAACATTTTCCCTGGTCCAGGGGTGACGGGGTCAACAGCCCCGAAGCCTTGAAAAATTATTTTTAAAATTAATCAAGTAAAATAAAACCCGACGTTATTTTTCAATAAGGGCAATGAAATTGAAATTCCTTCTTATGCCTTTTCTCATTATTTTGAAATTTATTTCCTTCTGATAAGGAACACATTTAATATTAATTATCGACTTTATATATTTATAACTGAATGTAACCAAATTATAAGTTAG